AGTCTTCAAAACATTTAAAAACTGGCCAAGTTAGTTTTTTGTTTTATGGATACAAATTTTTATAAAAATATGTGCTTAGAAAAAATACATATGAATATTTAAAGTATACTGTTCAAATATTATAAATTAATTATATAATAAATTATACTATGATACTATAACGAATTTGTAGTCATACAGCTATATAAATTTATATGGTAATTATGTTTTGACTACAAATTAAATATATAAAATATAATTAAAATATAAAAATGTTTTAGAAAATTACCTAATAGAAACCAAGAGGTATTTGCTTGAATAAATATTATTAAAATATGTTTTGTTATTGTACATTGATTTAAGAATCTGGCAGATGATATATAGTCATTTTCTCAGTGCTCATCTTCGGTTTCGGTTTTGTGGCCCGAGTAGGAAATAAATAAAAACAAATTTGCAGTCGGACATTTGGTCGATTGATTTCTACAGCGTCTTCCCTTGGGTTCTTCCTCTTCTTCTGCCGATTCTTCTGGTTCCTCCTGGTGTCTCAAAGTCCCGTCTTCGGATTCGGTCTTCGAGTTCGTCGAGTTCTTCTGGCTCGGCTCAGTCTGAACTTGCTGTTCGCTTGCAAATTGCCGCATATTTGTTGAGTAATTACGCTTTAACTTGTAATAAAGAAGACAAACAATAAAACGAGGCCCCAGCCGTGATCCCCCCGGAAAGGGGCAGCCAGGGGCGGTGAGGGGCTGACAGGATGGAGGGGGGTGCTCCAAAGGAGAGGGGGGTGGAGCACATCTGGCGGCGTGTTCTCAATTGAAAAGCGTGAATAACAAACGTGAACGGGGCGCAAATTGGTTAAAAGAGTCGATGGCGAAGTTGAAGACTGTTCAACTGGATTGGGAGAATTGCGTTTATGCGGCGGCAAAGTTTTGTGATCAACTAGAAAAAGGTTTTTCCAATCCAAAGCTACAGTTACACACATTGTTGACCTAAAATGAATATAGAATAAGCAAATATTAACATATTTTAGAAATAATTTACAAATTTGGTAAGCTACTTTAAATAATTTAAGATCATGAACCACAAATTTATAATTTATATTATAATCATTTATATTTAAGCTTAACTATGACTAAAAGTTTTTAGTGTGCGAATAGGTATATTTTTAATAATGATCTAATATTATCAAACCCCTTTAATTAACTTAAACATTTTGTTTATTTTGGTTGAAAAAAATGAGAGTTTGATAGGTGAAATACTTAACTTATATTTTAAACGATTGTATAAACTTAAATTATATATATTTTTGGGATAATAAGAATATATTCTAGCTCATTATTAAGTTTTAAGTAATCATGTCATTTAGCTTTTAAAATTATGGGTTTAATCGAATTTCCAGAACTTTAAAATGTAATTCCCTTATCTAATAGTTGTATGTCTATTCTTATGCCTCATCTTTGAAATTAAAAATTAAGGAATATAATATCATAAAAATGTATTAAAGTTCTTCAGGTTGGGCCATATTTTGTTCACCCACTTTGCCACAGTTGAAATCTTTGCACTAATCAGCAACGAGAGCCACCAAGTCGGGTCTAATTTACGCGAAAACGGCGAAAAGTGAAGCACAGGCGAAGGAAACATAAACTGGACGACGCGGTGCAGGAAGAGAGCGAGATGGAAGAGGGGGAGCGAGATAGAGCGAGTGCTCCGACTGGCCAAAACCATAAAATGCATTATTATGCTAAATGACTATAAAAATCACGTTTACAATCCATTTATGCCTGGGATAATAACCCATCCCATTCGACTCCATTCCATTGCCCTTCGAAAGGGGGTGTTCGGGGGTGGCGGTGCAGGGTGGTGCAGGGTGGTGTGGTTCAGATGGACGGGATGTTGGCTAAAAACCCTGAAAGGCAGCATTTGTTTACGCCGCGAATAATTGAGTTATCTGATCTCGGTCCTCGAGTCGGACTTGCAGCTAACCACAAGACACGAAAAGTAACCTGGACGGTTCCTGCAAACGAGCCGGGCTCTAGGTCTATTGAAAAAAAGGGGGGGGGGTGGGGGTGGGGCAGAAGGGTTACAAGGGGGCGGTGCCTTGGACGGCACATTGCATGTTGGCCATTGGCAGCAGGTAGGTGTGGCCGCGGCCTACGTAGCAAATTGTTTGGGGCGCATTAGATGGCAGCTTACCTGTGCCTTTGCACTGCCAAAAGAAACGTCGTCAAATTAAGTAGCACACTTCTTAATACAAGATTTTTTCATTAAAATTAAGAAAAACAAAGTTAGGAAGCCAATGTCACAAAAAATATGCTAGGAAATCTAAAATAAGAAAATTGGGCGGATCAAAAATTGGGCAATAAAATATAAGGAAATTTGTTACTGCACATTAAACTGCAAATTAAATAAAAAACTGAGTTTTCCTATTTCAAGAGAATTGGAGCTCGTTAATTTTATGTTATTGGCTTGTTATAATAATAAAATAAGTCCGCGAATTCTTTAGAAGATAATGCGCCAACTATATACATGAACAGGTTTTAGTTTTGAGGAGGGATTATTATCGTTGAAAAAAAAAAACAATTGAAATAGTATTTGAGTTTTTATTCTAAAAGATGTAACTAAATTTTGCTTCAAACTGTTTTCTTTTTGATTTTCTTCAGCTTCTTTAACGAAACTTCAGACATTCTGAATGTTATATCTCTGTTTGGGAAAATCATGTTACTGAAAAGAGACTCAAATAGTTTTCAGAATAATCCCAAACAGATTTAAGTTACCTAAAAATACTTGTATTTTTCTAACCACTATTTAAAGTCTATTTAGAATTTGTAATATAACCAACCCTTTGTTTTTTTAAACTGCTTGTAATTGGTATTCGCACTACCTGTGATACACACACACTTTTTCCCTGTGTAATCTTCCCGTAGCCCCCTCCCCTTTCGGAACCTGCGCATTGGTAATGACTTTATTTGGTTGCTGCGTTAATGGGGCGCACTCTGCTTCTACATCTCCATCTGCGTCTCCATCTCCACCTCCGTCTCCGTTTCCACCCCCCGCCCTCCTCTCCGTTCCCATCTTCCCTTGTCGGCAGCGCAAATTGAAAGCGCATTTCAAAATTTTTCACACCTGAAAATTATTTTGTCTCGAGATGGTTGTTTTCCTTTTTCCCGACTGCCAGCGGGGGGGTGACAGGCCAATGGTCTGTTGGATGTTGTTGGTGTTGGTGTATAGTGGATGGTGTATGGTGGATAAGGTATATAGGGTATTTAGGGGGAGCGGGGCAAGTGCAGCGAATTCCGATTGCGGAGTTGCAGGCTGCAAAACACTTTTCCCGTAGCGCCGCACTCGAAAACACAAAATAAAAAAGGTGCCGACTGCAATTAATCAAAATTTAATTTCAAAAAGTGACGCTGACGCTGACGATGAAGCTGACGATGAGGCCAAAAAATTGAATTGAAAAGCGGGCAGAGAGAAAACCGGCAAAAGAAAATGTAATTAATCACAAGACGGTTGGTTGGGAAAAATGAAAAGCCGCAGCCAACAAGGCAACAAGGCAACAAAGAGCCGAAGGAAAACAAAAGAGGCGTCAAAAGTCGACCGGCCAGTCCATCAGCAGTCGCAGAGGCGCCCCCCCTTTTTCGGGGGATCCCCGACCCCTTGAGTTAACCAGATTTCCGTTACAATTTATGGCCCCTCTTTTGGAAAGAAAAATGATATTGTTTCCCATACATTATCGTTGACAAAGCAGGGCGATCGCATTTGGACCTGATTGCCGATTGTTACTCATCGAATAACCATATTCTTTGGCTTCCTGTGGAGAAGATCGGTTTAAATATGTGATCTGTACAATTCACTTTACTAAATTATTAACCAGAAATTTAACATACCTGTTTTTTGTTTGAGCAGTCAATAGATCGGTTTTCTTTAATACATTCTCTATTTATTTTCTCGAAGCTTTGCATTAGTATACTAACCTATATAGGTTAAAATAACTCTGTTTTGCATTGCTTTTAGATGAGGTTCAATTTATATCGTGAATATTTCAAGATAAGTGCTTTAATTTTAATTTAATTGAATTCCTTTTTTGTATTAATATATTTTTCGTCTTGTTCATTTCGAAAGGTGTTTTACTTATTTTTGATTTGGTGGCTCCATCTAACTTTAAGGTTGAAAACACAATTGTCTCTAGATTTTTTTTACGTGAGATCCATGTAAAATGGACAGTTCTGTAAAATACACATGTAAAAAAATGTATGATGCATGTAAGCTTAGAAAACTCGAGTATGCATTTGGCTGTTTTGTTACACCCTTGCTGGACGATTTATATTCCGCCTTTGTTGCAGGTAGTATATTAATACTAGTAGTATAAGCATACTATTTTTCAGCAACTTCATTATAATTTTTGAGTTTATGAAAAATCGTTTTGCAATAAACTGTCAAAAAACCGCACTTCTAAGCTCATAACTTTTCTTACAGACGTCCGATTGCAAAGTTACATACTTCTAATTGTGGGTTTATTCTCTTAAAATATGTGTTTTCACATTATTTTGTAATTTTTCGTCATCTTTCTAATGTTACCCCTTTCCAAATTTTCGTAAAAAGGCTTTGCAGAAAAGTGACCTATAACCTGCACTTCTAAGCCCATAACTTTTCTAACAGAAGTCCGATTTCAAAGTGGCATGCTTCTAAATGATTGTGGGTTAATTCTCTAAAAATCTGTGCTCTCAACTTGTTTCGGATTTTTGGGTCAATTTTTCGTCATTTTTCTTTCCAAAATTTTTTCCCTTTCCAAATTTTCGAAAAATGGCTTTACAGAAAAGTGACCTAAAACCTGCACTTTCTAAGCCCATAATTTTTCTTACAGACGTCCGATTTTAATGTTACCCCTTTCCCAATTTTCGAAATATTGCTTTGCAGAAAAGTGAAGCCCATAACTTTTCTTACAGGAATCCGAGATTAACGATTTTCAGAATTAGGGATTTACTTTTAAGAAAATCGAATTTAAAAATTAAGTAAACACTTCATTATTTGTTGTCTAACTTTGGTTATAATTTTATTCATTATCTTAACTTGTTCTTGTTTCTTCATTACTTCCATGCTCCGTACTTCTGCGGTTTATCTTACTGCTTATGCAGTTGCGTTTAGCATTTTCACATTTTTTTGTTTTTAAACATAGATTGAGAAATTATTTATAATATATATATGTTATGTATAATTATATATTAAACATGTAGTATAATTTATGTAGCATACAAAAAAAATAGCTAAAAAAAATAAACAAAAAGGTATCTTTAAGACAGAACCGCGACGGTGTCCATATGTTTGCATTTTGTGTACAACAAAGATGCCACCGTCAGTAAGCTAGGTCTCGGTTTTTGGTCGCGGTCGCGGTCATCCTCCTAATCCTCCCTCGAATTCTACCCTTCCTCCCCCATCCGCTCACTGCGGCTTCTGGGTCTTTGGTGGTGCTTGGTGCTGCTGCTGTTGCTGTTGTTGCTGCTGCTGGGTCTCGTACCGCTGGCGCAGGGCGGTCAGGGCGCTCAGCAGCCGGCTATTGGCCGCATCCAGTGCCGCGATCTGCTGGCCCTGCTCCTCGATCACGCGCTGCTTGTGGGACAGCGCCAGCGACATCTTCAGCTGCTCGCGGCGCAGCTCCTCCTCCATGGTGATGAGTCTGCAGGAGGATTGAAAGAAACTTTAATTAAGTTGTCCACTGAAGGATTTGTTCTTTATAGTTATTTCAAGTGTCATGTGGCCCAAATTAGTGGTTACTCAAATCTGGTTGTAAACGGTGCAGTGACAGTAGTTATATAAATATAATTTTTGCCCAGATACCAGCAGTTATATTTAATATTACGAAAAATGTAAGCGATATATCCAAACAATAAAGCCCCAAGCTTTCGTTAGAATTTAACATTATATATCAAAATATTTTTAAAAAGAAGAATAAATTTTTGTTCTTAATAGTTTGAGTACATGCATAACTCATAATAACACCGTTTACATTTTAATTTTAAGAACCTATTTCGGCACATGCATTTTAGCCCAAATTGGGTGCAATCCCCACCTGTCGATGATGCTGCGCATGGTGGACTCCGACTGCAGGCTGAGATTGTTGGACCCGTTGCTGCCGGCGCTGCCCGCTGGTCGCTGGAGGCCGAACAGCTCGTCGCTGGAGTCGCGCAGCTCCGCCTCGTCCCGGTCGAGTGTGTGCCGGAGTGTGTCCAGCGTCTGCTGCAGCAGCTGGATCTCCCCGTTCTGGTCATAGCTCTTGCCCAGTCCTTGTTCCGAACCGGTTCCTCCTCCTCCGCCGCCGCCGTTGCTACCGCCACTGCTGCGCAACTGCCTGCGTCGCTTGCCCTCCTGCAATTGATTGCAGTGTCCTGGAATGGAGGAATTTTCCATGTTAGTTATAGATCCTAGATACATTCACATCATCCCGCCCGACTTACCCTCCGTATCCGTGCTGCTGTCGGAGAGCGTGCGTGCCGAGTCCAAGCTCAGACGCCTCTGGGCCGCCGAATTGGCCGATCCCACGCTGCCCGCCACACTGCCCGCATACTGCTTCAGTTCCTGCTCCCTCTCCCTTTGCTGCTGCTGCAACTGGTGGTGCTGCTGCTGCTGGTGGGGATGCTGATGGGATCCGGCCACACTGGGAGTGGAGAGGCCATAACCCACATTGCCGCTGCTGCCGCCGTAGCCACTGCCGTAGACATCCTCCCGTTTGAGCGGTCCATTCAGCCGACCGTAGGCGGACGAGCCGGCGCTCTTGCCCAGATTCGAGGTGGACGCGGACGCCGAGGTGGAGGAGCTGCTGCCGCCGCTGAGCGAGCGTTGGGCCTCCAGTTTGGTGGACATACCCGTTCCAGCCGCCGCCGCCGCTGCATAGCTGAAATAGTTATCCGCCGAGAGCTGTTCGTCCGAGGAACTGGGCGTCAGAGTCGCCGTCTCCAAGGCTCCTCCACTGTTGAGGAAGGCCGCCCTGGCCGCTACCAATCCACCTCCAATGGGTTTCAAGCGGCTGCCAAACTGCTGTTGCTGCTGCTGCTGTTGCAGCTGCTGTTGCTGGTGGGGATTGCTTGGAGCCGAGGAGCGGGAGGAGCCCGTTTGGGGCTGCAGCTGGTAGGAGGGATTCTTGAAGGCCAGCGGCGCATTGTGACTGCCCATCGCGGCCTTCAGCTGGCTCTCCACGGGACTGGAGGACTGCGAGGGCGAGGGATTCGTGGAGATGCTCTGGTAGCCGGAGCTGCAGTGGCTGCTCTTCGCCGACAGCTGCTCCTTGCCGGGCACGGCAGCGGGCTTGAGGTGGCCCTGGTGATTCTGCTGGTGGCTCTGGATGTGTAGTTGATGTTTCCCCATCTCCGCCACATCGTGCTCCTCGGCATACTTGAACAGATCGTCGAGATCCTCCAGGTTCTTGGGCATATTCGAGTTGGGATTGGGATTGCCGCCCCGCACATAGCCACCCGAATGGTCGGGTATTCCCAGATTCAGCTTGTGGTGACCCCGTCCGGCCCCCGCTGGACCCAAACTGGATTTCATCATGGGCGTGGGTGACTTGCAGACGAAGGCACTGCTCGTATCGAGCCCGGAGATCTGGATCTGGAACTCGCCGTGCATGTCGTCGTAGCTGCCACTCTGGTTGTTGTTGCTGCTCATGTTGCCGTTGCCGTTGGCATTGGGGGGATTCCCATTGCGTGGCAGTGTCTTGGAGCGAGTGCTGGATGGGGTGCTGGCCTCGTAGTCGTTGCCATTGTGGGCCATATACGGATAGTTCATCCGATCCATGCGCTCCATGGTGCTGGAGGCACTCGTCTGCGGCGCCGGCGGGCAGTGATGTGGATGCAGCTGCTGCTGCGGATGGTGGGCATGTTGCTGGTGGCCGTGCAGCAGGTTGCTGCTGCTGCCATTGAGCGACGAGGATGCCATCGAGGTCTGCGATTGGGCATGCTGCAGGCCCCCAGGCGAGCTCATATATTGGTTGCCAGCAATCGAGGTTTGTGAATTGGAGAGCATCTGGAGGGGATGCTGGTGGTGTGGTTGCTGTTGCTGGTGGGGATGCTGTTGCAGCTGCTGCTGCTGTTGTTGTTGCTGCTGTTGTTGCTGCTGCTGCTGTTGCTGCAGAAAGCCATTAACCGTGGGATCATTGTACCGAAAGATATTCTTCTCCAGGGAATTCGGCGTAAGTACACCTCGCATTATGCCCCGCTCCGCCGACAATGGTTTGCTCACAATCGCATGTTGCGGCTGGGCCAACTGGCTTTGTTGTGGCAGCAACTGCTCCGGATTGGAGCCCGCATGCGAGACGAGGCAGCCCGGATTGCGATTCTCCTGATTCTCGCTGGCTATCGAGTGCGTGGATGAGGTGGCCGGCAGATAGCCACCCGGCAGTGCCGTGCCCGAGCCGTGCTCCTTGGCCCGACTAATCTCGTCCAGAATGTGCTGCAGGGGATCTAGTTCGTGCTGCTTGGCCTCCGGCAATTTGGCCAGGCTCTCGCTGAGCAGCGTATGCAGGATGGACAGCTGTTTGCCCTGGTCAATGTAGCCAGCCCAGTCGAGTATCGAATCCGGGGCCGGATGCTCCGGTCGCGTGGATATTATCTCCAGAAACTGCTGCATGTGAGCGGCCTCCTCCTCGAGGAAATCGTTGAGGAACTCCATAAAGTTCTCCTTGCCCTGGAAACGGGTGAAGTTGGCCAGCGTCTGCAGCGTTTTGGCCACCAGCGTCAGATTTCGAGTAGCCCGCGCCGACGGCAGCTCTGTGGTTATGTTGAAGAGCGACGGCGACAGGATGGCCGGGCACAGGAAGCGGAGGAAAATGCTCGCCGAGATCAGGTTGTCGGCCATATCCTGGCGGCCCAGCTGCTGCAAGCGCTCCCGGAACGTGGCAAAGCAGTTGCGCAGCTGGGCGGGAAAGTGCTTGTGTGACTCGAAGATGCACTGCCACGCCCCACGCACTGCGGCGCGCAGGTTGGCCTGCTGCCGCTGCAGCGAGCCCGCCGACGAGCCACTCGCCTTGGTGGGATCCACCTCGCAGTCCCGCTCCGACTGGATCAGCTCGTTAATGGGCGCGGACAGCGTGTCCTGCAGATACTGTTCGCCCGTCAGCTTGAGGAATGCCTCCATGCTCTTAGTGGCCAACGAGTTGCCCCTGAATGTGAGCCGTTGGTCACCCACGCGCAAGAGATCCAGGGCCACCACATCGGTGAGGAAGGCTCCCGCCAATCCCTGGGCATGCATCAGCAGCACAAGCGCCTGCCCAATGTCCTCCTTGGCCTTCACCCCGATCACCGGCTCCAGGGTCTCGCACACCCGCTTGTAGTTCTCCTTGAGGTAGGCCAAGAAGTTGGCATACACATTGATGGGCAGGATCTCGGTGCTCTGGAAGCGGCACTTGATCCTCAGCGTGGGCAGCTGGTCCTTCTCCTTCGACCCACTGCCGCCGCCGCCCGAGCTCCTGCCCAGACTGTCGCCCGCCTTGTCGCTCAGTATGGGATGCCAGTGCTCGCAGGGCAATCGGGAGGTGACATCGCGCACGGGTATCGTCACCGAGCCGACGAACTGGTACTTGTCCCGCTTCTTTTTCTTGTCCACCTCGCGGAACACGTTCACGTTGATCACATTGATCTCGGGTATGTCGGGGAAATCGAAGTGCTCCCCCCAGAACAACAGATCCGTCTGCAGCTTCACCGAGGTCCTGCCGTACAGAGTCTTGTCCAGCTGCAGTTCGCAGAAGTAACGCTTCTTTGGCGGCAGATTCTTCGCCTCGTACACCCACATCTTCAGGGAGTTGTCCGTGCGGCGGGTGTGCTCCGCATTCGGGGCGATCGACTTGCGCAGCGAGTAGATCCAGAGGTCACGCTCCTGGCGCGATCCGCACGAGTAGTACCGCTCGCCACGCGGCCCGCCGCGCACCTGGAAACAGTGGCGCCGCCCGAGGACGGACTGGTGCACGGGCGCCACGCCCACCGCCCCGTTACAGGAGAGATCTGGAAAGGGGAGAGGGATCCGGGTTAGCACAACAGCTCCATCGAGGCACCATCACCTCAGTCCGGAACTCACCTATGGTGGACATCACCGCGTGACTCGACAGCAGACTCTCGTGCGAGCGGGAGCCCCTCAGTCCGCCGGAACCGCGCTTGGTCCGCTCCAGCTTGGTCACCGACTTGGTCCGCTTCAGGGGGTTGGATCTGTTTCATAGAAATATAAAAAGTTAATGATAGATATGATGATAAATTTGCAAATATAAATACTTTTATTTATGTGCAAGTCTTAGCAAAAAAAGCAAGATATAAGCAAAGATGTTTGAAAACAAGATAGTTTATAGGATCAATCGGATTTGTATCTTTTTAGGACTAAATATCTGACACAAATAATAATAAACTCTGCCTTGGTATAACATTACTAAGTTCATATTTTCATAAACCTGATTAGAAGAAGTCTAGCAAAAAAAAGAGCGAGAAATATACGGAAAGATTTTCAAAACCCTAGAAATATATATATACCCTGAAGGTTGGGAGATATCTCTTTTAATAAGTTACAAATACTATATCTGACAAAAGTTATAACTTCCACTGATTCAATGCTTGATCGATATTTTTACAACTTTTATGTTAGGCTTAAAAAATATAAAAGTATAATCATCAATTATAGAAATCTGCTCGATTAAACATCATTAACATTTCATATCAATTATAGAAATCAGTTCGATATAACATAATTAACATATGGGCATTTCATATCAAAATGATATGAAAAATCGAAATACATATATATTAAGCCTGCGATATTAAACCTTTTTCCCCCGATAAAAACAGAAAACCAAATACAAATAAAACTTACTTTTTGGAAAAGAAGTTGGTGAATCGTGAGGTGGCATTGTGCTCCGTCTGGTGCTGTTTGCTGCCCAAAATGGGCGTGGTGGGTGCTGATCCACGGCGGCACGCCTTCTCATAGGAAGTATCTGGAAAGAAGGAAACCAAGAGGATTCGCATTAGAAGGGATTATCTCACAAGTGCCATCGCAACAGGCATCTCCAGTTTCTCATTTCAAATACATTTCATTGACCTCCTTTTTTCAGGTGATTCAGGCAAATATTTTAATCCCTAAATGAAGAATTCCCAGCTTTGTTTCCACCTCATCTTCATCTTCCCCCGCACATTTTTCTGGACTTCCGTATAACAAAAACAGACACAACACTTTGGCATGAATCGGTTTCAGTTTTTGTTGTTTTTCTGGACGATTTAAAACTGGTTTCAGCCTGTCGAACAAAAGGAAAGGAGCAGCTGCTGCTCAAATGAATTTATCCCAACTCCGGAGAGCCATCAACATTGCCGCATCACCTGCCGCAAAAAAAAGTGAGGTAAAGTAAAATAACAACAGCCGGAGCAGCCAGAAGACATGGAAAATTAGGCAGCGGAAGGGGGAGGGGCAGGTAACCATGATTCATCATGTGCCTCATTACCGTGGCAAGATGCTCGACGAGTACACTCAACAAAGAAAATAGAACAAAATGACGTATATCTGTGCACACGAGGGTGGTCGAAATGCTGGTCACTTAGACCTGTTTTCTAAATAACAAATTATCCATATCAGTTTATCTTCTTTTAACCATCACAAATGATGCCTATTTTGCTCTGAAATAAAATAAATTGCTACTAAAAGAATTGCAAGTTATAAACTTACCTAATAATAAGTAAAATACTTAATTCTTAATGTCATAAGTCCCATAAAGATTATTATTTGTATTTAAGATTTGAAACTTCAGAGTAATAATGTAAAACGGTCAAATAAATTTGCAAAAATATATTATTTATTGACAATATGTTAATAACCATATTTGGCAGAAAGAGATACAAAAAATGCAATTACTTGTTTTGCCAGGTAAATTTAATTGAGGCTTGTTAATTTTAGTACTTATTATCTTATCAAATACTCAATTGATTTATTTTTTTATTCCCCACAGCTTTAAAGATTGGAATTTTGTCAAATCAGGAGCCATTAAGGAGCCTTATTAAATTAATGTTAATACATTCCTAATAGAATAAATTGAATAGTAAAATCGTGAGTATGAGTAAATAAGAAATTAGGAAAAAGATTCCCTTGAAGCCCTATTTTCCCAGTGCAATCGTAGTTGAAACTGAGTTGGAATCCGTGGACCAAAAACAGGTTTTGGCCTGGGGATCTTCATCTGCCCTTTCCTCCTCTTTACAAAGCCGCCCGCACAGTCAAGAAAATAAAGAACGAGCCCAAAAACAAAGCGACCTTGTCGAAGGCAGGCCACCTACAAAGTTAGCCATGAAAATGATCTGGGGAGGGGGGGTGGAAGGCTGGATGGAGAGGTGGAACCCGTGGACGTGGCCATATCCCATTCTGACTCATCGGGGGAGAGCAAACATCACTTTTATCTGATGGCATGCAAAAGAGGCATCGGAAAAACGGGCATTTCCATGTTTTATGGGCTTACTCCGCCTTCTTTATTTATTTTTTTTTTGTACTGTCCAAAGGGGCTCCCTTCCGCATTTCCAGGTTGATTCATTTGAATGGCCACCAGATGCAAACAACCCGATTTGTCATTCATTCAAAAAATACAACAAAATATGGGGGAGACCAAAGGCAAAACCAAAGAAATTGTGTCATGTTTGGCATGGTGGTGTGGCATTCAAAAACGCACAACATCTATTAATAATAAAGAGCGGGCGAAAAAAAAAAACACAAGTTATGAAATATTCCTATATAAGATCAAAACTCGTTGATGAGCAACTGTATCATCATCAAGTTAATCTTACCGCCTGGCGTGCAAAACAAACAGCCAAAGCGAAAAAGCATCAAATTCAAAGCGATAAAGTATATATAAATAAAAAGAAGGTGAGTCGAAAATGGCGCATTTATACCGTTTTCGTAGAAGGTGGGTGTTCCACGCCCCCAGATTAATGCCAAATCTAGAATAGGCACGCAAATCAGGCCAGCAGCAAAGTAACCATCAAAAAATGGTAGCAAAAAAGCACACACACCCAATAAAAAAAAACATGAATTTGATAATAGGAAACTAGGAAGGGATGTTATCTCAACCTTTTCAACTAATTATGTACAATTCTTTTTCTCAAACTTTCCATAATAATCTGGGGCAACTTTGGCTTATCATATTTCAGTAGAAACAAGCTGCAATTACTCGAACATTTCTGCTTCATAAAGAAAGTAATTATTATGTTTTACTGCCCACATGCTCACAAGTTCTTTATGGCGATTTCAATGGGTTTGAACTGATGTTTAAAGACCACTCATAAATATGTAACCCAGAGTTCAACCACTGATAAAGTCTCTCTATTAAACGATACAACAGAGATTGTCTGTTTCTGTGGTTCTGGTTCAATAAAACCAAATGATGGCAAATGCCATTTTGGGTAAATAGGTGGGCTAATCGCATATATAGCCAGCAGCTATGAAGTCAGCAGAGATCAGATTGGGGCCTATTACACCTCATCTTGGGAGTGTGTAATAATTTTTTTGGCCAGATGACCGGACCTCCGAGACCGCGAGATCATCTCATGATCGTGCTGCGATGATGCTGAAATGCTGCTGACTACACACAGAAACATATTGCTCATCGCTTGAGTCACAGTCACTTCCACAATTCTTTGGTTTTTTGGGGGTTCGGGGATTGAGACAACTTGCAATTAAAACGGATTAAAGACGGGGGGCAAAGAAAGGGGGTCGCTTTCACTGGCCACCAAAATGGAGATCGATCGAATGGGATCGCATGGTATGGTATCTACATTGGACCCCTTGGGCAGATGCTAACTGTGCGATAAGGTCAGCGCTCAATTATCAGCGCGTTAAGTAAACCAAAGCCAGAGCCAAATATGTGGAGAGTGGAAAATGCGTACAGTGATCACTCACTATCTCACGATCCGTCAGTGGGGCCCTGATAAATGGAACTAGCCAGCGATCGTGGCAGATAAATGGCCCCTGTATCTTTATCTCTTCTTTGTTTTTTCTCTGCGCCGTAATTCTCGAAAATGTCAACAGTTCTCGTTTTCGTTCTCGTTCTCGGTTGAGTGATATGATGTGATATGATCTATGGGCCCACAAGTCACTCTTCACCGCTCCGATAAGGCGTCGATCAATAAAGTAAATTCATATTTGAGTTTCGTGCGTTCTCTAAATCATAAATATATTCCTATCTCCCTTGTCTATTTCATTTTATTTCCATCGCCGCGTATGCTTTATCGACGAAAAATAGAAACCGCCTTGGGTTAAGTCGTTAGTTACGAAAGCGTTTGCGCCTTATCACATTACAAATAAAATGCAACTGCAACTACAACTACAACTGCACTGAGCGAATGCAGCGGCAAACAACAGCAAACCGACTGCGTCATAGTATCACTATCTGAATGTTTGCTGGCCACTCGAAATCGACACTAAGTACAATGGAAAAAAATTGTTTTAATTTTAAAACTATCTTGAAGAAATTCACCTAATCAAAAATGAAGTATTTCAATTGTGGATCAGCATATTTTAACTATATTTAATAGAACATAACATTGAAATTCTAAAATTACCACACCAATTGTTATTCGTTGCAAATTTGAGATATTGACAAATCTAAAATGTAAATCTACTTTGAAGGGAATTATATTTGAAATGTAATGAAGGCTCAAGGGCGAAACAGTCTTGAAGCATTACAAATTACATGACAAATAGTTTGCAATGGTGATTTGACACGAAATAATAATTTCAGATGATTTTACATAATTGCAAGCATTCCAGCCTGGTTTTTACACAATTTGTTTGCTCATTTTGTTTGAACTACCATACAATTGATAGCAATTATTTGCAGTGCATCAGCGAAAAATGGCAGCAACAATTTGAGTTTTAAAATAAAGCGGTTCGTTTGTTTGGCATTCTCATTCTCCTCTCTCTTTCGCTCTCTTCGCACTTCAGAAACAAAAAAACTGGTTTCTTGTGCGGGTGTGTGTGAATCATAATAAAATAACAACAGTCCAGAAAAAAGCAACGAAATTGAAATTGTTGCCAGAGAATGGAATGAAAGGGAAGAAAGGAAAGGAAAATACAAATAAAAATAAATAAAAGAGACGACGCCGCACAGTGGGACTATCATTTAAATGATCACAAATCGAATTGGCCACACTTCTTCGGCGGCGTTAATGCGAATCGATCGGGTGTTTAACGGTACCGTCGTGCGCCTCCCCCTCCCTCTCTCTCTCTACCTTTCTCCCTATCTCTTTCGAACTCATTGAAATGCAATGAGCTTCGCAGCGTTTCGTTCCAAGTATAGAAAACTGATTCCGATTCAATGACCAGCACAGCAAGAATAACTCAAGAAGTCGTCACTAGTTGGTAGAAACACCAATGGCGTTCCTGGAATACGAAATCAGAATGCAGGATGCCCACATGGCACATAGATATACTTATACACACTCCAATCACTTTCGGATCGGTTTATTTGGGTTCTACACAGCAAGAAAACAAGGTCATTAAACAGAAAGATCTATTGTCATAGTGTTCAGTTAGATTTTTAAATAAATTATTTTTAATATTATCATATTTATTTGATATTATTAAAAAAATAGTAAGATTTGAATATATACATTTTTTGTGATAAAAGATTTGATAGAAGTGTTCTTTATTATGTCTCTAATGATATATCAATTTTTATGAAGAAATAAGAAACGAAGCAAGTTAATGTAGGTAAAAACAAGAGAGAACGCTATAGTCGGGTGCCCCGACTATCAGATACCCGTTACTCAGGTAAAGGGAGTGCGAGGGAGATGGAGATAGAAACTTTGATCACGCATAACTTTTTAACGAATGGTCCGATTTGAAAATGTTCTTCTACATTTCGATAGGTATTAATAAACACAATAAAACTGCATTTTTACTTATCCGAAATATTTAAATTTTTAAAATCGTGTATAAGCGATTGTGGGCGTTAAAGGGGGCGTGGCACCATTTTGAAACAAACTTGCGCTGCGTAGGAACTTCTAAAATCTACATGCAAAATGCCAATCTTCTAGCTTTTATAGTTTCCGAGATCTCAGCGTTCATACGGACAGACAGACAGACAGACGGACAGACGGACAGACGGACAGACGGACAGACGGACATGGCTATATCAACTCAGGAGGTGATCCTGATCAAGAATATATATACTTTATAGGGTCGGAAACGCTTCCTTCTAGCTGTTACATACTTTTGCACGAATACAATATACCCTTTTACTCTACGAGTAACGGGTATAAATAGTATGTAATAGGTTCGAAAAGACTGTAATTATACATTTGATACAATTGGTTTTTTAAGGACTTGCCAATTTGTTTTCTAATTTTGTAGTAAAGTATAATTAATTTAGGCAAAATCAATATGTTCTTATTATCATATTAACCAGGCCAATATCTGTTCTGCAATTTGATATCATATTAGATTCTTTATTTCGTGTGTAATTCTATGAAGCCCATGGTGCGACGCTCCACTGCCTTCCAGGGCCATCAAATTGAGCTACAATTGAGCCTCACAATTGGGCTACGTTCCAAAAGAATACACATACTTCGCTGTACCCGTACACACATAAATATATATATATATAGGCGTATACGCCGGTGGTTGGGGGAGGGTTCACCTCTGATCGTGTGTAAATAAAGTAGCTGGCTTGATGATGGCAAACGTCGCAAAAGAAACGCACAGGAAGGCTTAATAAGAGCCGCCAGAAAGTGTGAAGAAAACACGAAGAGAGAAGGGGGAGTTGCACAGCTGCGGTCATAATAATAGCCCTTAAAACATCTGCCCATAAAATAGTGTACCCATAATAAATGTTGTAATCTACAATGTATAACATTATGTTGAGGAGTTTAATATTAGCCATTATCATTACTAATAGACTATTCAGTATGTGTTCCACTCAAGCTGATAGATATGCGATCATTAAGTAAAATTTACGAAATTCGAATTAAAAGTCAGCATTAACATTTACTTGTTAGTCATGAGTCATGACTTTTAAATGGTTTAATAGGCTTAAGTGAAAGAAACCCTAAAGGGATCGGTAATTATTAATGTTTGTATTTACTTTTGAAATCTAAATTATAAAGCTTCTTTAGAGTTTTAAATATTACTGAACAAATAAAATGACATACAGTGACATAAATGTAATTAGATTCTTTAACAGATCCTAGCTCTTTTGTGTGGCATTCGGATATTAAGGGAGATACCTACAACTTTGAGCCATCAAAGAGAATGTTAAATGGATCTTAAATCTTTTGTGTGGCATTTAGATATCAAGAGGGAGAATATGTTGCAGACCTACAACTTTGACCCACACTGTCCTCGAGGGGAGGGGGGCTGGGTGTTATCTTATCGTGACCCTGTGTAGATAGGGGAATACCAAATGCGATCGCCGTTGTTCGATACAAACAGCCATTGTACGGCCAAACGGGGATCGTTCGATCGAATCGAACCGAAGGGGGATCGCAAAAGGGGTTGTTTTTCGGTTGTTTGCCACAGGAAATACTACTTGCTACCCATCCGCCGAGACAAAGGCGAAGGACAAAGAATGTTTGGTGGGTTCGACCTACCGGAATGATGTCCCGCATCGTCCTCCGCCGTGGCCGTTGTCTCATCATTCTCCGCGGCCACCGAGAGATCCGCCCCAGCTGCGCATGTCGACGACGAGGCCATATGTATGGTCAGATCCCGGATCTTGAATCGCTCGCAGATCAGCTCCTCGCAATGATCGGCCTGGAAATAGCAGTTCAGTTCGTCCAAACTCAATGGGCAGACATCGTAGGGCTGGTAGAAATGTTTGCCCCAGCTGCCACTATTGCTGGAATTATCCCCGGCACAGCTCGAGGACAGTGATCCCTGCATGGCTCCCTGATTCAGTGAGAGGCCGGTGTTTCCAGTTCCCGATCCCAAACCGCCAGTCTGACTCGGTTTCAACAGGGAGTTACTTCGGGCCACCTTGGTGGAGTGGGCTCTTCGGATGAAACTTAGCGATTTCTTGGGCGGCGAGCAGATCGCCGAGGTATTCGAGGGCGTGGCCGCTACAGCTCCAGCTAAATCCGCTGACAATTTGGGCGTCGACTTGAGTAGAAAGAGGTTTTTGGGCGGAAAACTGTGTGTTAGAATGGACGTGGCCGAACAGCTGTTTTGCAGTTTATAGGGCGATCCCGATCCCGATCCCGCTATCTGACTGACGGTACTGCCGCCAAACAGCTGACGCTGTTTTCCCTGCAGCTTTTCCTGCTTCTCCTGCTGCTTTTCCCGCTTCTTTTCCAGCTCATCCAAGGCGGCTGCCTCGCGTAAAACAACTGAGGGCGATAAGTTCTGCGGCAGGGTCTTTGATTTGGCACGTAGCGTAATCAGCGTAGTTGTCGTTGTGGTCGTTGTAGTATTTCCCGCTCCCATGGATGAGGTATTATTATTGTTATTAGTCGTCGTCGTCGTACTTGTGGCCAAGCCCCGTTCCACCGACGGCAGCGGTACGGCCAATATATTGGTACGCGATCGCGATTTCATTAGCTTAATGGGCGTCGAGGTGTTCGTTTGCATGCGACTGATCTCTGAGTCATCGTCGTAATCCTGCGTTTCTTGGCCGCCGGATAGGGCCTGCTGTTTGGGAGGCGGGGGCGTGGCCAGGACTATATCGTTGTCCTCATTGAAATGGGTCCTGGGCGCCGACGTGGCTGTGGAAAGCCTCGGTATAATGCCACCACCCAGCGAGGACTGCTCCCCATCGCTGCCATTCAAACTGATCACGTTCAGGACTATGCCATATCTTTTCAGTTTCGATGGGGATGCGGAGGCAGTGTTATTATTCCCGGTGGGCAAGGACTTCAGCAACTGCTCGCGATGACGCGCCTCCGAGGAGTTCTCCTCGTCCTCGTCGGTGTCGGAATACTGGGCCGCATTCTCGCTGCCACTGATGCTCCAGTTGAAGCCGCAGGGTGGGGACATTTTCGAGGAGGGGGTTTTCCGCTCGAAGAGGGCACTAACCTTGGCCACGCCGCTTTTCACGGAGCTCGATTTGCGTAGGCTATAGCTTTTGGCCGATTTGGTATCGGAATTGGTCAGGGAGTTGCTATTGCTGCTCAGGCTGGTGTTGCTCGAGGATTTGTGGACCAGATCCTGGTGGTCGTCACGTTTCTCCTCTTCGTCTTCGATTACCAACGGCACATAGAATGTGGAGCGGCGTCTTTGGGATTTCTCTTCCGGTGTGGCTAGTATCGGGGTCTCACTGTGCTCAGTGTTTGGTGTATCTACTGTAGTTGTTGTTGTGCTGGTGCTCAACATTTTGTGCTCGTCGTTATTATTTTTTATATCGCTCAGTGTATTTTAGAGAGCATGGCACACACACACATCTAAAGAGTGAGAAGAGAACACACACACAGACACACACACGCAGGTAAATTTGTGTTTGTGTTTGTTGACGCTGCTGCTTCCTCTTTCCCTTTTTCGCTGATGCTTCTTTTTTACTTCTTGAATTGTATTTACACTCCCCTTCTTGTTGCTGTTTTCTACTCTTAATTTTTTTTATTTTGTTCGAGTGTGTGCGTTTGTCGCTTGGCTTATAAAAATTATGCGCTCAACTGCATTTCCGCGTTTTTTTTCTTTTTCTTCACGCTTTTGTTGTTGCTGCTATTTTATCGCCTTTTCGCATCACATTGTCGCTTGGTTAAGTCTTTCTTTTTGTTTTTCTTGTGGTACTCTTTTTTTGTTGTTTGTTTGTTTAGTTTTGGTTTTTAGTTGCAGCATACACACACACGAACGCACACATGCAGCGCTGAGAGTCTGCACTAATACACACGAACACGCATTTTTTTTCTTGGTGTGCAGGAATGCGTTTTTGGTTGTTGTTGGGAAAGGGGATAAAACACTTTAACAAAAACAAAACTTTCGCTTTAACAACTATCAAAAAAAATATGAATGGAAATTTATGTAGAGCATAACAAAACAGGGATTAACAGGGATGTTGAATTCAGCCGAAAATAAGTTACAGTAAAACCGACGCGCGAACAAAACTAATAACAATAATAAAAGGAGCTATTTTTGGAACCGCCGGCGACGTCGCATCCAGTCCAGCCGAAGTCGAAAATCGATCTGAAAAATTTGAATACAATGCCAAGTTAAGGCATATCGATATATCGCGATCGGAACCAGTTCAGCAAAGAACCAATGTATCGCGGCTGCTGTGATCCAATCCAAGTTTCAAACCATAGGAGTTACCATTTTACGAAACTGGCGCCTAATTTATCGTTTTTTAAACGGGATTCTTAATATATAAGATTTTTTAAGGCGACCACTGCAACTTCTTTACTGCGTTATTTAAAAAACTTGGTTTTTTACACAGGTTTAGGACAGGGGCCTTGTGATCGTGAGCAAAATAAGTTGGGTAGAAGAACCGACAACTGGAGTTTTTTCGATTTCTACTCGATATTTGGCATATCGCTCCACTATCGCACGCAACTATCTCCACTAACAACAACAACAAAGAACAGCTGGCGGGAAAGAATATGGATTTAAATTGTGTCTAGATATGTTATAATTACTATTTGAGCTTAAAGAAACTTTGCTGAAGTATGATAAAATATCTGGTTTTCATTGTTGACAATTTTCCGCTGCACGCAAAAAATCTTTGGACGTAAAAAAAGCAGGGATAAAAAGACAATAAAGTGCTTTAGATCCGGAGACAATAAAAATACATAACAATGTGTGAAGCCCTTTTGGTTTAACTGCCAATTCTCTGAGATAAGGGGAGAAGGTCCCTTTTGCCCCAACATCCGTATTTGGTCCACAATTTGTTGTTTCTAAAAATATTTGTATACATGTATGACAAAAACAAAACTTTATTTTTCGAAAATGGCAACTACTGCTTTCCTACCTCAATTGTAAGTGTGTTAGTTTGTATGCATATATAATAAGGTGCTAGTTGTGCAGCCGGGCAAAGCATAATACAAATTAGAGGGACCCCTCCAACACCCCTACACTCGTCGTAACGCTTGGGTCCCCTCTCTCTACCTCTATTTTATTTTATTATTCTTTTTTTTCACTGCGGAAGTGCGTGACTATTGGGTTTTATGTGACACGTTCACCTCCTTCGCCACAACGAAACGGAAGACTTGTTTACGAGCGGCTCTCGAAAGTTACCATTTTCATTTTCATTCCCATTTCCATCGGCATTAGCATAGGGGCACAATGAACCGTAGGAAAGAGGGGAGTTTTCTGTTTTATATTTTCAACCCTTGACCAGGTGATTGTTATATAAGCCACGTCCTGCCTCTCGAAATTCCGTTACTTTGCCAGAAATTCCCCTCCCAAAATGAATTGTGTCACTAAATGTGGAGTTACTGCCAATAAACATAATATATACTGCATACTTTACGGGCTAAATAGAGTTTATGGCATGTCAAGTAGACATTAGGTAAGTTACGTGTAGAAACGAGAAAATGACCGTAAGAGAAATACTGTAGATCGTTATGAAACGCCTTGATTTATGCAAAGAAATAAAGAAACTAAATTACGAGACCACAAATGGGAAATACTCTACCTAATATATATAATTTTAATCGACTTAAGCATGCATTTTTTCAATACTAAAATGTGTGACGGCCCTTTATAGATTCTTTTAGTTACATTTTTTTGTCAATGAACTAAAAAGGAAATTATGGCTGCAGATTATACATAACGAGTTTGTGGTCAAACTGAAAAAAACCAACACACAAGTTTTCTTTCAACTCAATTATGTTATTTATAAATATTTATGTAACTTTCAAAATACAGCAATCAGTCTTTAACTGGTAAATAATTACAATGTTTTTTTTTGCTTTGGAATTTACCCAATGAATCTTTTAGAATACGAAATTTAAAGATTATATTTCTAGCTGCATTCAGTAATTCAGTAATTCTTTAATTTTTTTAATTGCTGATAAAACGAGTTTAAAGATACAAAAATATACTGACAATTCTTTGGTGCCTCATTATTTAACTGACTTTAATTATTTTCAGAAGCTGTATAACAAATTTTGATAATAAGCTTACAAATCAGTCTTCAAAAGTCCAAATACTAACAAGAAGTAATGACACTTGCATTTTATTATGAAATAGTTCTGACAGTCTCTTAATCATCTTGGAATATGCTTATCTGGGAGTACCAAAGCTGTGATAGTATTTCATAGTTTGAAAAACCCTTTGGTGTATAAAAGAGCAATGAGTGTACGAATACAATCGTACAAAAACTTGCTGATAAGTTAAGAACAGATCGCATTGCGCTGAGCCGGCAAAAATGTTTGCATTTGTGGGTTTCTAGGTCCCTCTGGTGCAAATGCGCTCTAAGCGCCACATGGAAATGGGGGAAACAATGTCACGACATTGAGATACGGATGCATGAGTAACAAGTGACTGGCGGGGTGTGCTGTGTGCTGTGGTGCCCCATTGTGGCAGGGAATCAATCGAACAATCGGGGGACTTTGTGTTGGTGTTACCTTCATTCAGCGATGTATCGTTTAGCGCCGTATCGAAATGTATGCGCGGCAGTGTCTTCGACTTGTACTCACCTGCAAATATAATACAAGTGGAAAATGGATTAGTTGTGTTAAATGCAAATGTCAGAGTGTAAATACTAGATGTTTTTGTGTATTTCGTTTTGCAAAACTCGACCCATTTACATGGCCTGACCTTTGAGCTTGTTGTGAATTCACTTCAATTAATGCAAAATATGAAAACACAAGCGAGAGATGCGAGAGATACAATTGCTAGACATCGCAGATGCAGAGATGATGGTGACAATGTGGGGCAAGCTCGTAAATTGAGCAATTGTTGTAGGTGACCCAGGAGTGTGCGTCTGGGGTCTTCGGTCTTTGGAGAGCCCCTTGGGTTCCCAGGCCAGGCCATTATTACTACTATTATTATTACTATTATTATGGTTCCGTTGGCACTTTTCCCAACACTGCATTATCTGCTTTGCGCGGGTCATCAGTCGTAACTGTGCAACTGTAAATTATGCCGCCGCACAATTGACTTCAAAGCGGAATGACCGAACTGACCAACCAACGAACCAACGACCCAACACCAATCCAATGATGATTGTGAATTCTCGATGATGTCACATCCGTCATCCATTCGCTTGGTTCGAGAGGCAGTGCTTCCCCCTTGCAAGGAAATGTGTTGACAGATGCCATAACCCTGACTCTGGGATAAGAATGACACGGAATCATTCCGAATTCGAGTTAAAGTGGGCGTCTCATTACAGTTTTACATATCTTTAAAGCTTATACATATATATATTTGTATCTTTTTTTTTAAGTATTATATATAAAAAGTAGATATTTAATTTTGTCATTTTCCACAATCAATGTAATTAAATGACTAGTTATTAAATATTATGGTGCAACATCTCATTTAGGTGGTTTAATCTTTAATATTTCTATGTTGTTATCACAATTATTTGGAAATCGCTTGTCGACGTTTTACGACTTTATCAGAAATCGTTTCGGTTGAAATCTACATGATGTGCATACAAATTTAAACTAAATTTCAAGCGAAAATATATCTTACTTATCTGCATATATTAGTTTAAATAACACAGAATATGGTTTCCTATTATAAATACCATTTTTTTTTATTAGATAAATAGCAAGCAATACTTCTTAGAAATGTGGCATATATACATCATGAAATCGCTATTAGCTTCTGTGGGTGAATACTTACTCCTGCCCGCCGTCTCCAGAGTGGATGCACCCGATCCCGTCCCAGACATTCGCTCCTGGTCGTTCTTCATCAGCTGCAGTTGCTCCTGATGCAGCAGCAATTGAAGTTGCTGCTGTGGCTGTTGCTGTTGCTGCTGATGTTGCTGTTGCTGCTGCTGCAGTAGTTGCAACTGCTGCACATCGCAGTGCACCTCGTGAATGGGCGGAGTGGGGGCGTCATCCCGCTCGCCCCTCAAACAGGAGGCCAATCCCCGGCCCCGTGGCATTGTGCTCCTCCGCAGGGCAGTCGTTTGCGGCTGCTGATCCACGGATCTCGAGGGATTCAGTATGGAATTCTGGGAGTGCGGGGCTGTGGCGTTGCGTGGCATGGAGTTGATCTTCCGCTGCTGCGGCGACGTCGATGTGCTCGTCTGCATTTGCACCTCGTCGCTAATTGCACGCAAAGCACCGCAGTTCATTCTGATTTGGTTAGCTGATTTTGTTCTTTTTGGTATCCTTGCTTAAGTTGCCTTTGTAGATTTTTGGTTTGTGTTGCCTTGGTAGTTTTGTTAATTGTTTTTTATTTTTTTTTAAGTTATTAGTTCAGTTTCTCTTTAACCTTGACATGGTTTCCTGTACAACAAGGGGTAAGTTATACATTTTAAAACACAACACTCGCGACGGTTTTAAAACACTGGCTTGGCTTGGTTTTATAACATTAAATTATTATTATATATTTTTCACTCTTCAGAAATTATTTCGATATAACTTTGTGTTTCCAAAAATTGTATGTGATAATCCTCATATTTTATGACACCGATCGAATGATGTTATATAAAATGATGTCATATTTAGCTCCCTTTGTACTTTTTTCGTACATTTCTGTGTCATCCCTGATTATGTCAAAATAAGTCTATTATACAATAATATCCTATCAAAATATGATGTCATGTGTACTGTTTATACCCTCAAATAAAATATAGCTTCTTACATATATGTATATATGGAATATATCTTTAAATGTATAAAGGCACTGTATTAAAAAGAATTTTATTCAATTAAATACGCAGTAAAATATAAAAGTGTCTTATCTTGGGAAACAATAATCCAGGCAAATATGAAATATCCACATGTGATATGATCTGAAACATCCCCAGTTACTTTCTTAAGCAGGGCTGTTTTGGTTATTTTCTGGGCCCAAAGCCATCTGACATCGACGGTTTGGTTTCGCTTGCCTGCGTCGGCAATTAAGATTTATGGTCATGGCGTGTTGGCCATCGTAAGCGCACCCCCTACCGGTTTGCACCACCCTCCTCCCTCGCTGCACCCCCCAAAAAAAAAAAAACAAAAATAATAATCTAAAGGCTCCTACTCCGACTGCCACTTTTTTGTGACTCGAAAATTGTTTAGCTAATTTTTCCAAGTGGTTTTTCGTTCTTTTGCACACGCGCGACTGCGCAACAACACTCCTCACTCCAACAAACAAAGGGAAAACGAAAACATATAAAGAATATTAAACACACACACACACACACACAACGCAGCACAACAACCTTCATTATTTTGGCTTAAATTTTCCTTTTAACTTGTACAATTTTACGCTCGTTGGGTTTTGCTGCAAACAGTTTCGAATCGAAACGAAACGGAATTGAAATGAAAATGTTTGTTTATGTATGAGCAGCTGTGGGTGTTTTTTTTGTATTTTTTTTTTATTAAGAGCTGGGGTTTTCCACATCTGATCGAGAGAGAAATAGAGAAATCGCCCAGAAAAGAGAGTGAATAAATTACTTAGCCCACACAATATTGTTCTAAATAATTCCACAATTAATAACGGCTTGAATAAAATTACATTACATGGTTATTAATAAATACTGGTTTGAACAAGACTTTATCTAAGTATTTAACTGAAAAAATGTAATATCATTTTCTTTTTCCACTAGCTAGTATTTAATTAAGACTTGAGTTTACCATTGTTCCCGCAACTTTTAACTTATTGCATCGTTTTAAACTAGGTGCCAATCGATAAATGCAGGCCAATTTAATAAACAAGCCATCATAATGTATGCAATCAGCCCAAGGCGTTAAAAATCTGTAATAATTGGGGGCTTCGGCTTTCTCTTGTTCGGCTTTTGCATTTTCCCCTCCAAAACGCCAGAAAAAAATGGGGTTTTGTTCGGCGGTGTGAATTCTAGGCCTCAATTTTGTGGTTTGCTGATTTCCATTACTGGATTTTCCTCTTGCGTGCGTTTTGCGTTTTTATTATTATTTTTATTTTTAATGCTATTAAAATAATTTTCCATATCTGCTTTCAATTGCTGCGTGCCCGAAAAGAAAACTGGTTGCCAACCATCATATTTTTCTAGTTGAAATTTTTTGTGTGCGTGCTCTGGTGATAAACATAAATTTCGCCACAGACTTGACTATTTTTTCATTACTTTCTCCAACAGTAGCGACGACAGACACGCAGCAGCTGTTCTCTATCTACCTCTCCTTTTCTTTTTACACGGCAGAAAAATGTGTGCTCTATTAATGCATTTTTACAATTGAAATGTTTTAATTTTTGCAAAGATTTTAAATCGATAAAAATCTATAAATTATAGTGAAATACATTTTTTTATAATTATTATATATAAATAAAATTATAAAATTTTGATCAGACATTTTAAGTCTGGTTAATTCAAGAGATTGAGATTAAGTAAGAGATGTTAAATAACTTCTTTTTTTTAATCCATTACATTTTAAAAACATTTGAGGCACTGCAATTAATTAATTAAATTACTTAAGTTTTCTAATCATTTGAGAATTTACATTAATAGAGTTTTTTAATTAACTACGATCGCACCTCATTATAGATTTGAAATCCTCAGATATTTTAAATAATTTTAGATTTTAAATGATTATAGATTTTAAATCATTGTATTTCGAAATCATTAGAGATTTTAATTTAATGTTTTATTTAATGTTTTCAATTTATAATGACTTTTCTGCACATAATAATATTTAATCAATCCCCTGAACTAACCAACCTATTTCTGTACGTGTACGCTTTTATCTCTTTAATGCTTCTCTGGTTATTCGAGCGAAACGCCCACGTTGGCACCTGTAAGCCCAGCACGCCCCGCCCCTCCTTTGTTCGCCTTCCGTTTAAACGGAAGTGCAAGCCAATGGCCAGAAGTGCTCAGAATTCGATATGCTATATGTGTGCGCTTTGGTTCCTACCATACAATATGGTCACATGACTCCACTGGCGGCGGCTGATGTTTTTATATGGGAAAAAGAGAAAAACTCCAAACAAAAGCGGCAACTGCAACGGATGCGCCATATAAAGGCAGCATGCAACGCTTCAAGCTGAAAGCTTTTTTTCTCTATTTGATTTTTTTTGTGGGTTTTTTTTTCCCCCATTTTTTTTTGCTGATTAATGCAGCCGGCGTTGGCGTCACAATGTGTTTGCTTTATTTACGTTGTTTGTGTTTTTTTTTTCATTTTTCATTTATATTTTTTATTTATTTGTTGTTTTTGGAGGCGTCTCGTCCGCATAATGAATAATTTGGCAGAGATGCATTTTTGCACATTGACGGGGAGACATCGATGACGTTGGAAATAACATCAGAGACATCGCACAACAACGAGCTCAAACATCGGCCAACAACGTCAATCCAATCGCAGACTTTGCCCAGACTCAACTGATTATATATGCACGAGTGCAAGTACATATGTATGTATCTCTTGAAAAGTACATTTTTTGAAGGGGAGGGGGGTTACACAGGTAGAGCCAGGTGATAAGCCCCAAAGAATAAAAGTGAGACAGAGAAGTAAAGGTGTAAAGGTGTAAGTAACAATAGCACGCAGATCCAGCGGATGATAAATGATCTGAGGCCAAGAGTAAATCTCCCATTTCCTCTTTACTGAATCCCAAGAAATCAGATTAAAGGTTCTGCAAAGCTTTCCCTTTTTTATACACCTCGATTTTCCATGAACCCAAAAACCGAAAGGGGGTCATTTTTACAACCAAATAATGATAAACATTTCTTGAAGGTTGTTTACTAGTTTTTAACCTTTTTTATGCTTTCCATCTTTAAATCTGTACAACTTGTATTTTGAACTTCACACTTCTGTTTTACTTTTATCTAAAATCTTTTAGAGATCGAATCTGAAGTCTAACTTCCTTATAACACCAAAAAAGTTATATTTGCATATATTATAAGCTCTCAGACACATTTAAGTTGCGAATATTTTTATGGCCCAAAGAAGAACTCCCATTCATGAGAATTCGCTCGTTCTTATTTCTTTTTGGCAGATTATGGTTCCGGAGAAGTGGAGTCCAAGTCCGACTAGAACCAAGGTCCCACACAATTGCGAGGAGGAGCCAGAGCTCATTAGGTTTACGGCTAATATATATTATAATGAGTATCGCTTTATAATAGGCACTCTGGTGGCTGCCCTCGCCGCGGGGACGTGGGAAACTTTCCATCTATTCGCCTATTCGCCGATTCGTCTTTTGTCGCATAGAACAACGACGTCGACGTCGACGTCGCAGTCAACGCCAAGCGCCAGCAGAGCGCAACCGGCGATCGCACTTCGTTATGCAATCGAAACACTCGCAAAAACATATCACCCTATTTCAAAATGTGTTTCTAAATAGCATAAGATTTTTCGAAATATTGGATTCTCCTTTCTAAATGTTTTAAGGCCATTTACAAACATTCTAGAAGTTCATAAATACTGTTTGATCTTCTAAAAGCTTTTAAATTTTGAAAATATACATTTGAATGATAATAAAAACTGTTCAAATAAAAACCTTAAAAAAACTTAAAAAACCTTATTTTGAAGAAAGATTTCTCAAATTTTGTTGCAATTTTTTGCAATTGATTTAATAGTTTTTAAACTTTAAGAATGCTTACAATATATACGATAATATTTGTTTACAAATTTGCAAATATTTTATGTAAATTAAAAAGCCTCAAATAATTCGATTCAATAAAAAATGCCAGCATTTGAGAAAATATTTTGCCCAAATAGTAAATCCAAATTTTTGGAGTGCCGGGTTCGTGGATAATGGGGCTGTGGAGCTATATTGGTATTGAATGGAAGAAGGGCCGTGGGCTCTGCACCGGTCCCTAGGTCATTTCCCTCTGCCGCAAAACAGTTGAGAGATCAACGACAGCAACAACAACATCAGACACAACAGCAACTACAGTAACAACATCAGCAACATCAACAGCACAACAACAAATAAAGGCAAAAGGCAAAGATCTTAGATTTCTATTATGGCATTTCTTTCATCTTCTTTTTTTCGCATCCATGTACCCCGCGCTTCTTCAACATTTTTATTTTCCTTATATTTTCTTTTTTATTATTTTCATTTTACCCATTTTGCCCCGGCAAACGGCGAATTGAAGTCGCGGCGTAATTGACGTTAGTGATGAGATCAAAATGGACCACAATGATTGCGGCGATAATTGCGACACAGACGAACATAAATATTCTTTTTGAGCCACGCACAGAGGAATGATAAAATGCCAGGGAAAAGATGCAGCGATACGGAGGGTTCGAGTTCGTGTCCGGGGGGAGTACGAGTACGCGGAAAAATCAACTGGCAATAAACACAATGTAACTCAAACTCAGAAAGGGG